TCTGGTCTCGCCGCCATTTACCTCCCATTCCATACCCCCTGTGCCCTTCCGAGGTCCCACTGGTTGGGGTTCTTCGCCCCTGGGTTACCCCACGTCCCTGTTCCCATGGGGTCTGAGCCCTTGGTGGACTTGCCTTTCTGATTTGGTAAACCTGTGTTCATGTAGTTCCACATCAACTTCACCGAGGGGCCACCGCGCCCCCAGGCCCCACACCAGCGGACCCTGCCTTCCCGGTACAGGGACTGATGGGGAGGAGCTTCAAGCACATTGCATTTACTGTGCACTTTATTTCCAGTTACTAGGTTCTTGCAGGACGCGTGCACACTAGATCCCTCACCGCCACCCTGACAATCTAATGTGGCTGCTGAGCTGACAGGAGGCGGAGCTCAGGCAGTGGTGCGAGGGCAGGAGCAGTGGGGAACACAGATGCAGCTTCGCTGGCTCCAACAGCAGTGTGTGGCCCAGGCCGCGGGGAGCCTGGCCCTGCACAGTCTTCCTCCCATGCCCGTGTGCACTCAGAGGCACTCGTGCCCAGCAGGACGGTCACTCTCTTCTCCTGTTGGTTCATGGCCCTGTCCACTTCCAGCCCCCTGCCACTGCGGCCGCCCCTGGCCTAACTGTGGTCCACAGTCCAGTTCGCTTAGAAAGAGGCAGGCAGCCCAGCAAACAGGAAACAGGGTAGAGCCGGGGCTGGGAGGGATAAGGGCCCCGCTCCCGGGAAGAAGGCTCCTAAGAGTGTGCTCTTAGGTATGTTACAGATGCAAAATAGCCAGTTTCCTTTGAGCTCGGTCTCTGAAACAAGCAGAATGACTCCAAAAGCCCTACAAGGCCTTCCTGCTCTGCTCATCTATATGAGACCAGAACAAAGACAGCACAGTGCAGTGCCACTCCCAGAATCCCATTGTTCTTCTTTTTCCATTAAACACTCTTCTACCTCCCTCCTTTTGTCTGTGATTTCATTCTCCTACTTTGTAAGACGAGAACCTTGGATTTATACAAAATTAACTGTTTTACATGTAGAATCATTAATTCCTTTGGAAGTCAAGATTTCTGAACCAACAGAGTGTCCAGAAATGTCAAATAAAAGCCCTGCAAGTGACAGTGAAAGGAGCCAGCTGCCCTTTGGACCCTCGAGTCCCCGACTTCTGTCTTCTGTTAAAAGCACAGCACTGGACACCAGTGGAGGAGGCAGTTAGGCTGCACGCAAGGCATCCGAATAAGGCAGCAACGCCTTGGTCAGTGTCTACGTGCTCCTCCAGCTCTGAAGTCCAAGACACAACCGATCCATGGACAGGCTTGTTCCTGCTCACTTCATCCGCATCAGCCAGAACTCACTGTCCTCAGACAGATGAACCAAGAAACAGCGAGGGCTAGCTACACACGTGCCAGCTACCTGGATGCACCCGGGACATTATGCTAAGTGAAATAAGCCAGCCACAGGAGACGAGTCCCGGGACTCCCTCAGCTCAGGTCCATTAAGTAGTCAAACTCATGGAGCTACAAAACAAAGGGAAACACTGGGGCTGCAGGGGAGGAGAAGTAGAGAGCAAGGGCGTTTAATGGCCAGAGTTTCCAGCTGGGATGGATGGTGCCGGTGGCTGCCCAACACTGGGAATATATGTACTCAGTGCCCCTGAACTGTTCACTTGAAAATGGTTGGAATGCTAAATTGTATGTATTTTCTACCACAACAGAAAAATACTCTTCTGGGAGGCTGAGGCGGGTGGATCACAAGCTCAAGCCCACCCTGGGCAACTTGCCATAGTAAGACCCTGTCTCCAAATGAAAAATAAGCTGGGTGTGGGCTGGGGATTTAGCTCAGTGGTGCCGTGGCCTACCTCGAAAGCTCAAGGTTCCAAGTTCGATCCCTGCTATCAAAAACAAAACAAACTGGGTTTGATGGCACAAACCTGTAGTCCCAGCACTCTAGAGGCTGAGGCAGGAGGATCACCTCAAGTTCAAGGCCAGCCTGGACTACACAGTGAGACCTTGTTTCCAAAAACCAATAATAAATAAAAAGGGATGGCTACGTAGCTCAGTGCCAATGCCCTGCTTTCAATCCCCGGTGATACAATGTAAATACGTACGGGCATATCCTGTGAGGTACAGCTGTCTCCAGCTACTTCTCGGGGAGGGGATGGGGAGGCCAAGCCCCGCCTTCCCTTGCATTCTGGGGCAGAAGCCAGGAAGGGAGGTGTGGCAGCTCACGTGGCCGAGGCCATGCTGGGGGCAGGAGCGCCTTGCGGAGCTGGGTGTGCTGTGGGGGACAGACACCTGTCCCCTAGGAGGGAAAGAAGGGATCCAGGGATGGCTGGTTAGAGCACTCCCTGTTCAGATGCGCGAGGCCGGAGCATGCAGGCCCAGGTGCTCCATCCTCCCCCACCCAACTCCCCTCCAGTGCTTGGCCCCCGCTGTCCCTGGAATACGCCCCACCCCGTTCCCCGCGGGGCCTTCATGTTGCCACTCTTCCTGCCTGGAGCCGTCCCCACCTGCTACCTCCTCAGCAGCCCGCCCATATCAGTGCCCCAAACACTCTCTGCACTGGCCCTCCAGGCCCCATCACTCTCCGTGCTGTCCCCTGGGAGTCACCCTGGCCGCCGCAGCCCATGGCAGAGAAGCCATGGAGGCTGGACAGAGAGCCCCCACTCCCCCCAGAACTCCCACTGGAGCTGTGAGGCCAGAAGTTGGAGATGAGTGGCCCAAGGAACAAAGCGTCCACAACAGCATGCTGCGCCGGGCAGGGCTAAGCAAAGAGCCAGTGTGCAGCGGTGCTGGCACTGCTAGGGCTCAGACCAAAGCGCCCCAACGCGCAGTGCATGTCAGGGTCACACACCGTGTCAGCTACTCCCACCCGTGGATTTCTAGCACACATGCTCCTGGGTGCCCGGGGCGGGCGAGGCCCGAGGACGTCAACGAGGAGCATGCTTTGAAGACCCCTCTCCTCGGCCTGAGACCCGTCTCAGATCAGAACTTCCCTACTGCCTGTTTCTTCTACGATGAAGGCCCCGGAGGGAAACCCAGTCACTGAAAAGAACAGAGACATTTTTGAAGAATCAACGTTCCAAAGTTACCTCTAAGAAACCATCACTGTGTTCCCTGCTGCCGGCCCTGAGCCGCAGGAGCAACTCCAGTGTGACCAAAAGGTGCCGGGCATGGCTTGGGGCGGGGCCTTCCTGCTCGGGGAGGTCTGCTTCACAGCCAGCTCCGAACCGCCCTCTGGAACCCAGGGCCAAGGGGTTTGAGGGCCCAGCTCCTCATGGCACGGGACCCAACCTCCCAGTGACAAAACGACAAGGCACAATTCCGAAAGAACTGAGGCCCGAGGATGAGAAGAACAGAAGAGCGCAGTTTAGAATCTGAAACCAATGTAGAGATGGCTGTTCTCTTAACAAGTCCCGAAGCACTGTCAGTAAATACTCCAAACCAAGCAGGGGGAGCGGTGATGCATGCCTGCAAGCCCAGCACTCTTGGAGACTGGGGCAGGAAGATGGCAGGTTCCAGCCCAGCCTGGGCAATTTAGAGACCCTGTCTCAAAATAAAAATTTTAAAATGCAGGGCCAGGGATGTAGCTCGGGGGTGCTGCACCTGCCTGGCAACCACAAGGTCCTGAGTTTGATCCCCAGTACCAAAAAAATAAAACTCTAAAATGCTCAGTGCAAAGGCCCTGGGTTTGATCCCCAGTACCAGACACCCCCCAAAAAAAATACAGAAAGAAACATACATTACACTGTAGAAGCCTAGTTTTAAAAACAAAGTAACCTGATGCTAACAAATCAGTCGTCTGTCACCAGCTCAACAGGAGAGCAACCATGAAGCCATCTTATTTAGAGTTTGTGTCTGCCTCCCTCACACCTGCTGTGAAGCCAACCTGTGCTCCAACTAAGAGCACTCCTCTTTGTGAAATGATGTTGCCCACCCCTAGAATCAGAAAATAAAGCCAGTGAGACCATTAACCTGAACTGTTGCAATCTTGTCAGTTCGGCAGTGCTGAGGCCAGGAAGCCCCATGACTCCATACCCTGCAACCCCCGGATTGATACTGCGTGGGAAGCCACTCCAAGTTCCAGGTCACGCCAGCGGGTTCGGCTCCGTCCAGGCCCACCCCTCCACCTCAAACCCGGCACCCCCTTCCCCTCGGGTCTGCTCTGAGGCCCAGAGCAAGAACCCCACCCACCAGGGTCACTGAAGGGTCTGCAGAGCCAGGCAACCAACAGGCACGAGGGAGCTGCCAGTGCTGTGGCTCTCGGTTCCTTCAAGCCTTCCCGTTCCATCCCTGGCCTGCCTCAGGGCCAGCAACCCTTCCTGGTCATGACGGGACTTCTCTGGGGCCGCCTCTCCTCTCTTGGCATGCCGGGGGTGCAGGAGCTGGCTCTGCTTTTCCAGGGAGGGCCTCCACACAGAAGGGGGCTGGAACTTGGGTACAGGTCACAGGAGTCCCGCAGAGGCCTGCCAGGGCCAGGAACAGCACTCGCTAAACCACTGCCTTCTCTGCCAATCAGCTCCGGCCTCTGCCACACCCCAGCCCTGTCTTGGCTATTGAGGAGGAAGGGGCCACCTGCCCCTCACAGCCTGGGCCACACCCACCGAGACTGTGGCCCAGAGGGAGCCAGGGTGAGGCGCAGAAGTGGCTCATGGGAATTTCTATAGGTCTGGCTACTATAATGGGTTTTTAATTTGGAGGCAGTTCTGGGGATTGAACCCAGGACCTCCACAATGTAGTGCGTCCTCTGCCCTTTTAGCTTCTTAATGTTTGAGACAAGGCCTCACTAAGTTGATAAAATGCCAAGGCTGGACTGACTTGCAATCTCCTGCCTCAGTCTCCCGGAGTGCTAGAATGGTTTTGAGTTTTTATATAATGTCCCCTATACGCTGTAAGGTAGGCTTTTGTCATTTCATTTATATCCAAGGTATATTTGCTTTGGACTCTTGGGAGAAATCTAGTCTTTCAAATAAAGGCACTGTCACTCAGTCATCCTCAAAGAAAGGGTCACACACAGGAGCTCAAGTAAACAAATCATTTATTAGCAGCCTCGGAGCAGGGGGCTCGCAGCTTCCAGCGGCTGTGCTGCTGCAGGAGGTGTCATGGGCACTCAACCCTCACTTCTTCCACTCGTTCTTGTCGTAGTCCCACTTGGCAGAGAAGCCCTGGATGGGGCTGGCCTTCATGTCCAGCATCCTCTTGGTCTGCATGGCCACCCACTCCTCGTCGAAGGTGTGCGGGATGGGGCCGTACACTGCGGTTCAAGGCGACAGTGCGGGGCTGTCTTCACAAGCCCCCCCCCCAGAGAGCTCTGTCTGGGCGACAGCAATTCTGGGGGCTTTTATTCCTCTGCTCACTGAGCTAGAGCAGAACAGCGGGGACTCCAGGCCAGCACAGGGCAAAGCCACTGAGCCACAGGGAGTCGGCAAGAGGGCTTGGATCTGCCATAACCCTGGTCCACACTCAGACCAAAGGCACAGGAGGGAACCTTCGCAGAAGGCAAACCCGCCCACAGCTACTGCAAGGAGAAGGCCTGAAGCCCCAACTCCCACTGCAGACGCATCTAGAGCCTGGGAAGGCGCTTGGCCCAGCTGGTCATCTTTGGGAGCAGCCGCTAAGCGGAGGTGGCCTCTGTACAAAGCAGGCAACAACTCACCGACAAACAAGGCAGCCAGGAATTCCTCAGCTTCTGGCTTACAAACCACCTCCATGAGCCCGTGGCTCCCCGTGCCCCCCACTCACCGTGGCGCTTCTCCCAGATCAGAATGAGGCCAGTGAAGCCGATGAAGAACATGGCGGCGCCCACAACTGTCTTCCACTCATTGGTGCTCCTGTTCATCTCTGCAAAGCTCTCGTTGAACCGAATGCGATACACTGGGACAGGAGAGGAGCCGTGTGTGGGCACGAAGAGCACAGAGTGGACCTCAGCCTGCTCCCAGCACACCCACTCCTCCCCAAAGCAACATGGAGGGCACCCCAAGCCAAGGGCTGCAGCCCAGGCCCTGCCACACTCACGTACACTTGTAACTTGTGCCCTCGCACACGGCGTGTGGGGAGGGAGTGGGGAAGAAAACGTAAGGTTTGCTTTGGGCAAAACAGGTGTGAAATGACATCCCTGGCTCAGTGTGAGGCCTGCTTCCTCACAGTCTGCCCAGGCCTCTTCCTGAGGCACAGCCTCCTGCAGTGATCTGCAGGAGCAAGCACACATGTCCGCCCCGGGTGCCTGGGGGCCTGGGACAGTCCCCCAGAAACTGAGCAGTGACCCTGCCCAGTGACAGCTGCGCTGGTCAGCCCCACACGCGCTTCCCTCGATACCCACACTCGACTTTCTCATCCCTGGTCAGGCTGCTCCAGGAGGCCTTCTCCTTCTCCTTCAGGGCCTTCTGGCTGGCAGACAGCTGCTGGACATGGGCCACGTCAGGCAGGGGGTAGTCACGCCGATCGACATAGCTGGGGAGAGCGTAGTCTTCACTCTTCACCACACTCCCTACAGACAGCAAATACTGGAAAAGCTGCCTGCTCGAGGGTCCAGGCAGAATGACACAGTGGGTGAAGGGAAGCAGGTGACATGGGCCAAGGCCCCCCAGGGTGGCACTTCCTACAGACAGGGCTCTCGGGGATCTGTCCTGCGGGAGAGTGGACTACACCAACCCTGCTGCAAAGGCCTCAAACTAACACCACCACACACCACTGCAAGAAGTGTTCCAAGTTCAGAAACAAAGCTGTACAAAGAGGTAGCCACTGCGGCATCATAACAGGGTTGCCTGGGCCTGACAAAGAGGACAAGGTTAGGAGCTGTGCAAGCCTGGCTCACTGGCTCAGCAAGTACTTTCTGAGCAGCTATTGCTACCAAGGGTGGCGCTGGATGTTTGGGATGTCGGCGAGCAAATCAATCATTGCTGCCCAGGGGTGCTCACATTCCAGTAGGAAACAAAATATACATAACAGACATGTAAGACATATGTTAGGAATCCATGAGTGGTAGGAAACAGGTCACAGCCTGAGAGCCAAGCAGACCTACGAACTCAAATTGAGAAGAATCATGTGCTCTGTAAGTCACAAAACAAGGTCAGTATTGCTTTCTCCTTTCAAAAGTGTAAAGCAGAAGCTGGGTGTGGTAGAATGTGCCTATAATCCCAGCACTCTGGGAGGCCGAGGCAGGAGGATTCCAAGTTTGAGCCAAGCCTGGGCAACTTAGGGAGACCCTGTGTCAAAAACTTTTAACAAGTCTCACACACACACACACACACACACACACACGGTCTATATATTTGCATATACATGTACTCACATGTATATGCTGCAAAACATGCAGACTCCTAGCAAAGTAAATACTAAACTGTTACAAGTGAGAGGAGACAGAACCCAGTGAAGACTTCTTTTTGCTTGCTTTTCATGTGCTACACAAGAGCATGTTCTCATGGATGAAATAACCAAAGCGGACGAAAGTTCAAGCAGAAGGAAAAGGAACTACAAGGGTTTTTTTGGTGGTGTCAGAGACTGAATCTAGGGCTGTTCTACCACTAAGCTATATCCTCAGCTCCTTTTACTTTTTATTTTGAAACAGGTAGTCCTAAATTGCCCAGGCTGGCCTGGAAATTTCAATCCTCCTGCCTCAGGCCCCCAGGTAACTGAGATTACAGGCCTGTGCCACCATGACCCATAGGAATCTTAATTCTTAGGGTTTCTTGTTGCTAAAAGCTGTTCCTCCAATTCTTTATTTTTGTTCTTGTGACAACAGTTGTGTGGAGAGGATGGAGGGAAGACAGGGTCTCAATATGCAGTTCTAGCTATCCTTGAACTTACTATGTAACTCAGGCTGGCCTCAAACTCACAGCAGTTGTCCTGCCTCAGCTTCCCACGTGCTGGGGTGACAGACATGCGCCACCATACCTAGCTATTTCTCCAATTCTATCCCACATACTCAAGAACATGCTGTATCCAAACTGGTCTGCAGGGATGAGGCCCTGCAAAAATGCTCCTCCCTGATGACAGTGATTTAAATCCCCCAAATCACGTTCACAGTGAAACAAAATATGAAGCCTCGGGCAAGCAGTGTACTTCCTGCGGGTGTTTACCTTCACCGTGTAGATGACCAGTCCCTACATATGAACCAGAAGAATCAAGGGGAAATGACCAGGGTCACTGTCCAATTTCAACTCAAGAAACTGAAGAAGAATGGCTGTAAACTAAAAATTCTTACCAAGTTCAGCCCAATAAAAGGTCTCTACAGGTTAAGGCACTCGGCGTCCACATCGGCTATTCATTAGAGGGAAGATAACCTTCTAAAATCAATGTGTTACATGCATTACACCACACAGAGCTGGCATAAAGACATAAGCTTGGAGCACGCTAGCCATAAAACAGCACATTCTAGAAAAAGAATGGCCAACTCTGGTCTCAGGGTTTCTGCAGAGATTTGGGCCTGGCAAATGGGGAAGAAACCTTCCTTTTTTTCGAAAGGTACTGAGGAGCAAAAAGGCCATATTTTAAACAATGCCCGCCACTCTTGTCCTCAGCTGAGCCTCCGTGGGGCAGCCCAGGGGAACTGAGATCCCCAACGTATCACTGCACAAATATGCCTGCCAGCGAAGACAGTAGAACAGCGTCCCTGCCATTTCAATATTTTATGTTGAGAAAAAGCTCACGTATCATACATGTATAATTCTGACAAATTAAAGCTGAACATTAAAGGACAAGATTTATCTAAGAGAATACAGTATTTCACCCGCTTGAGATGCACACAAAATAAACAAAAAAGAAGACTAAGGGAATGTATCAGCCAACCCAGATTAGAAGTGAATGCAATCCTGTCATGACAACTTCCTAGGGTCGCAAGGAGCACTTTTTTTTGTTTGTTTGTTTGTTTTATTTTTTGGTAGCGGGACTCGAACTCAGGTCCTTGAGCTTGCACAGCAGGCGGTGGAACCACTGAGCTAAATCCCCGGCACCAAGGAGCACTTCTTTATGTGTGGAGTGATAAAGCGTTTTCCCCTCACCTACTTGAGACAGCGCGTTTTTACAGTGATCTCGTCACAGCCTGCACCCGAGGCTCTCTCCCGGCAGTGCACACAGAGGCGCAGCGCTGAGGCACCACTTTGCACTACTGTGAAGGGGCCTCCATCCACACAGCCCAAGCCTGGCACCGACCCTCTCACCCTTTGGCAGCTCCGCCATGCCCCGCAAGCTTTCCCTGGGCCTGGCAAGCTAAAATGCTCCTCTCTGGGGCACAGCTTACTAGAAGAGGGCCTTCATCCATCTGGCTCTCTCCACAATGCAGACACACTGTGGAAAGGCTCACAGCTCATGTTCTTCCTATTGTCCACGGCTAATGGTGTCTCATACAAAGAACTTGCTCAATAAATACAAAACTAAATTAGCTCCAGGCTAGACACAGAACTAAAACTTGTTTGTGTATGTACTTCAGATAAGAAAATATTCTGTTTTCTTTCCCTTTTTTCTTTTTTTGTTTTGACACAGGGTTTCACTGTGTAGTTCAGGTTGGCCCTGAAGTCCCTACATAGTCCAGGCTGGTCTAGAACTTTCGGTGATCCTCCTGCCCCAGCCTCCTGAATGCTGGGATTATTGGCGTGTGCCACCACTCCTGGTACAGGAAACAATTCTTAAATTTAAGTAGCTAATCCAAGATAGAAATGAAACTTAAACCCAGCTCAAGGGGAGTCCCAGCTCTTTTGCTTCCATTGCCTCTATAATGTAAACAGAAGGAAGTTGGGTGGTTGGGAGTCCTGTGGGAGGAAAAGATCATTAAAGTCAGAGAAGACCTCTTGACACAAGTGGAACCTGAACCTCAAAAATGGAAGGAAACAAAGAAAAAGAAGAGAAAAACAGTACAAATAAAGGTCCAGACTAGTATTCAACAGGAGTAATAGACACACTTTCATATAGAGGCACGGCCTACTGAATGAATCACCGATGTTTCCCTCTAAAGTCCTTCAAGTGCAAGATCAAGTCTGAAGGCAACCACAGCACAGGCCTTATATATACAGAGCAGGAGCGAAATGAAATTAGCTCAGCCTATTTAAAGGGAAAGTCACACTTACCATGGGCTCGAGCACACACCGAGGTGGAAATGGCTCGCTTGCTGATTAGGCTAAATACCCTGGTAGCCAACATTCTGAAAGATACAAACACACACCTCTATGAATGACAGTGACCACCTATTAGGGCCAAGCTGTCTTTTTGCCCAGGGCATTTTGAAAGTAAATGCAATTCATTTGTTTGCTTCTCAATACAAATGACTTTTTTTTTTAAGCCAGGGACTTTCTAGGTAGTTCAGGCTGGCTTTAACTCAGCAATTATCCTGCCTCCGCCTCCCAAGCGCTGGGACCACCACACCTGGCTACAAGACTCATTCTTTATATAACGGATTTTGAATTCACAAAATAATCCAGGCTGAGATTTTTCTTAATAGTGCTTCCGTGGAGCTTCGTAATAAATTAAGTGCCACAATACAAGCTTATACAACGAACAGAAAATTGGCCTTTAAAAAAGGGGGGTGGGACCGGGGATTTAGCTCAGTGGTTTCGCCGCCTGCTGTGCAGGCGCAAGGACCCGAGTTCGATCCCCGGTACCAAAAAAAGGAAAAATTTAAAGTGACTGAAAAAGCAAGCAATCAGTGAAGCACCGTGCCCCTACTACAGGTTCTGTCCCTGGTAAGAAGGAACTGCTCCCACGGAGGGTGGCACGGTCCTGAGGCACCCAGACTGGAAGGACAATCCGAGAAGACTGCACACACAGCCTGGCCCCCCTTCCAATCCCTGCAGTCAACGGACGACCTAGATGACGCCTTGTCACCTGGGCCCTCGAGCTGGGGCCCCGCGCCACCACAGCCCCCTTCCAGGACGCCCCTCTAGAGCCCTGCTGACGGCCACGGGGCTCCGCAGCGCTGAGAAAATGCCTCCCAGGCAAGAGGAGCAGCGGGATGGGGGCTGCGCTCGCCGCTGGCTGGGCCTGGCGGGGCCGCGGGGCCGCGCGGCCGGGGGTCGCGGTGCTCGGCCGCGGGGAGCCGAGGCCGCAGGCGCAGAGCCAGCGGGCGCCCCAAGGTCAAGAGGCCGAGGCCGCGCGCCCGCCCGCGCCGGGCGTGTGCAGCCGAGGCCTGCACCCTGCGGCCCACAGCCTCGCGCGCCCGCACCCCGCGGCAAGCCTCAATGTCACCGTGCCCCGCGCCCCCCGCTGCCTCCCGCGTGCGCCTGCCAGCCGTCTCGGGCGCGCGAACCCCACGGCTCCCAACCCCCGGAGCCGGCGTGGCTCACGAGTAGAGGCCCAAAGAAGGCCGCCTCGCGCCTCACCCGCCACCGCTCCACGGCGACCGCTTCGACCGCCCGCCCTCTGCGTCCCGGCTGCCAGCGACCGGAAGAGTGAACCCACGACCGGAAAAAGAGGAGGCCGCGCCGCGGAGCACCATGGGATGGAGGAAGCCCCACCCACGCCGGCCGCCCAGAGGTCACAGCGCCGTGAACGACGCGAAACGCCGGGCCGTGCAGCTTTCCGGCAAGTGCTAGCAACCTGCTTTCCGGCGGGCCGGCGAGGAGCGCGAGCGGAGTCGGGGCCGCGGTTCTGAGGAGCGGGAGACGGCCGTCCTGGGTCCGCGCCAGGGCCAGCCGCCGCCTCTTCTCGCTTCTCCGTTGAGGCGCCGCGCGGCCGGACAGGGCGTCCAGCCTCCGCCGCGCAGCCGGGGCCTCCGGGGCCCGCCGGGCTCAGCATGCCCGGGGTGAAGCTGACCACCCAGGCCTACTGCAAGATGCTGCTGCACGGCGCCAAGTACCCGCACTGCGCCGTCAACGGGCTGCTCGTGGCCGAGAAGCAGAAGCCGCGCAAGGACCACCTCCCGCCGGGCGGCCCCCACACCCTCTTCGTGGACTGCATCCCCCTCTTCCACGGCACGCTGGCCCTGGCGCCCATGCTGGAGGTAGCCCTCACCCTGGTAAGCACGGCAGCGTCTCGGCACCCTCGCCGCGCGGACCTCCTGAGCCGGTAGCCCGTGAGACTAGTCGTCTTTCCCGGACCGACGTTGAGGGTGTGGAGTTGGGGCGTTTCCGCTGTCCCTTCGCGAGGCGTCCTCACTGGCGCCAGGTGTTGCGGCAGCTCCTGGCAGCTGCCGCCCCGACCCCAAACCCTCTAAGTGCAGACGTTTCTGAAGGCAGCGTCGGGTCTGGGCTTTGCTCCCCTGGCATGGGCCCGAGCTCTGTGCGGGAAGAATTTGTCCGTTCCACATAGTGGTTGGAAACTTATCTAGAATCCCTCCAGTGATTCCAAAAGCTAAAGGATTTTTTGAAATCAAAAAACAGGAGCAAATGTGTCTTATCCCCAACACATTATCGTTTCTGCGTACGATAAGTGCTTAACTGAAGTGCAGTGGAAAACAGATTTGACACCGATAAATTGGGTGGCAGTTGGATTTTAGGCAGATAGCTTTTTAGTTATGGGGATCAGTGAAGGGGAGAAAAAAAAACATGTAGTAATTCCACTGGATTGTTAAAACTTGAGGAGGAAGTAATCTGCAGCCTCAAACCTGCCCGCCGGGACAGAGGTACTGCTTATTTTCCATTTAAGAATAAATTGTAAGGGCCGGGGATTTAGCTCAGTGGTTCCGGCGCCTGCCTCGCAAGCGCAAGGTCCCGAGTTCGATCCCCGGTACCAAAAAAAAGAAAGAAGAAATTGTAATGCTAAAAAGTACTAGTTAATTCGTGCAAGAGGTGAGCTGTGAGAAGGTGGAGGTAGAAATCCTTTATGCCTCCCATCAAGTAAAATGAGTCCATTTCTTAATTGACGTAATTACGACACCAAGTAAATTCTTGGCAAGCCAGACGTGCCTTTGGGCAGTCTGTCCTAAGGTGGTTGGGCACATCTTTGAGCATCTGTAAAACTGAGTCAGGATGTGAATTTCTCAGTAGCATTTCTGGTCTGGAGATAGATAACAAACAAATAGACAGTATTTATAAACTCAACCATTTTACTTCCTCAGTTCCTGAAGAAGTGGGCTGTCGGGACCTGAAACCTCTCTGGGGAGCACGTGCACATGTTTCAATCCAGATCTTTCCTGCTAGCTGTCTTAATTGTTCTGTTGTTGAGGGAATTGCAGGGTGATGGGATCTGTGAGATGCTTTGACTTGCAAGGAACTAAATTCACCAGTGGCTCCCTTCCCAACTGCTGTACTAGCAGTTGAACCCAGGGAGTGCCCCACTCCTTTTTTACTACTTTTTTTTTTCTTTTTTTATTACTTTGAGACAGGGTCTTGCTAAGTTGCCCAAGATAGCTTCGAACTTGCTATCCTGCCTCGGCCTCCCAAGTAGCTGGATTATAGACGTAGCCCACCACATCCAGACATGAGTAGCATTTGTGTGAGATTATTCCGTTCTCCACTCAGTATCTCTTGAGTATCTGTTTTGTGCCAGGCACCTGCTGAAAGAGGCCTGTGGCTGTGTCAAATAGTACTTGGCATTTGAATTTGCAGCAAGCTTACAAGCACAGTACTGAAGGATAAATGCAAGGTTAAAGTGGCAGAGATCTGAGAGAAAAGTGCTTGGAGAGTCAAGGCCATCAGAAGGTACACACAAGTGGTGAGGCATCCTGGTAACCTGGGGAGTAGGCATGGGGTGGACGGAGAGCATTCAGGGCAGAGAGACCAGCGTGTGCAGACTAGGAGGAAACAGCAGCGCCAGAGGGATGAGGGAGAGGATGGAGGGGCCAGGGGCAGAGAGGTGGGCAGTGAGTGGGCACACTGCTGTGAAGGGGATCACTCAGAGGTTCTGAGCACAGTCCTGAGGACAGAGGAAAGCCCTGGAGGACAGTCGCAGGATCAGATTTGTGTCTTCATAGGGTGGCTCAGCCTGCAGTGAACAGGAAGTTTGAGTCAGGTGTTCATTCAAGACTAGAGGCAGGAAGGTAACTGAACCGAACTTGGTGTGGATGCTGGGCAGGTAGTCCACAGGCCTCTGACTAACCATGTGTGGACACAGGGCTGGGAATCGAGAAGATGTGGGTTGTTGGCTTTAAGTTAGGAGCACTGTCACGCCACTCTCAGTGGGAATATGGGCAGAGAAACAGTTTTCAGGGGGAAAAGATGTTGAGTTTAGCACAGATTGAGTTTAAGATGTGTGAATGTAGAAGTTTCAGTACTAAAAGAAGAAAAATGAGCCTAGAGTTTAGAGGCTGGCTGGGCTGGAGGCGTAGACTGAGAGCCACAAATTCTTGGTTACTTGAAGTCATGACAGTGGATCAGATCACCTGGGGCCACTGGTGCAAGAAGCCTGAGGAACTCCAGCTGTTAACGGACGGGTGGTGGAGGAGGAGCCACTGAGCGGCAGCCAGAAAGGAAGAGGAACATCCCATGTTTTTAAGGGGGTTGGGGCGTGGGTGGAGATTATACCCGCAGCACTGTACCACTGAGCTGCATCCCTAGACCTTTACCTTTTTATTTTGAGACAGAGTCTGCTCCATTGCCCAGGCTGGCTCAGAAATTGAGATCCTTCTGCCTCAGCCTCCAAAGTACCTGAGATTAAGCATGTGCCACCACCCTGGCTTCTTAAGGGCTTCTCGAAGACACTCTGGAACCTTACTGGGAATGTCCACCTCACTTACACTTCAGTCAGCTTTACAGAGTTAAAGGGTTACTTCCCTATTTCGGGAAATGAGTCCAGTACCTGAAAGAATTGAGCATCCTAACTGTAAACAATGGCAGAGTCACCTTTACATGAGTTTTCCCCAAGGCCAAAAGCTGCCTCCCAGCCCTGACCTAGGAGGGAAGATGGCCAGAGAGGACTTGGACTCTTCAGAGCCAGAGGCCCATGCTGACCTTGCTCTCCCTGCCCTGTCACACTGCTCCCCTGGCCATCAGTGCCCAGGCCCCTGACCAGCAGCGCAAGGTCCATGTGAGACTCCTGCAGTTACTCTCCTCGCCAGGTTGTCCTGTGCTGACTTTTCCTATAGTCACCAAAACTCTGGGTGTCACCCTCAGCAGGCAACAAACTTGAAGAAGATGCGGTCCGGTACAAATGACGTCATTTGTAGACAAGACTATGGAGGAAAGTGACTCAACCCAAAAGTTTTGTATTACAGTTACGCAACTTACATTTCTATTATTTGCTTTTGCCTAATTCATGTTTATAATTAAGATATTAAATTTATATTATTTGTTTTTTGAGTAAGTAACTTTATAACCTGAAGTCCCTGAAAAATCTCCGGGTTTGGAGCCATGGTTTATCAGGATAACAACAGCTAAATCCATGCAGTTGTGTAAACGAGGCCTTATTCTTACAGTTCTTTTCTAGTCAGGGAGTTTCGTATCAGAATTATTTTTGCTAAGTGGGAAGGACTTGATTGCAGTCCATCAGGGGCAACGCTCAATTCCTTTGAAAAGCTTTTCATTGTAATTTTCCATTTTAAAAACATCGTGTATTTCTGTTTTTTTAAAGTACTTAGGATTGTTATTTATCCTTTTAGCCCTTTGACGTAAGTAGTGAAGGAATTATTCCTAATAGCAAAAACCCATCAAATGTTAGCAGGGAAATTAGCATAAACCTGCTGTTCCCTAAGCCTTCTGTGTCCTTTTCCCCTCACTTTGATTCCCCCTGTGGCATGTTCTGCTTCCTCTCCAGTGGGACTCCTCAGCGTGACTTCCCTGCTGCCACCATGTGTGCCTGCCCGCCCTCTAACCCTCCTACGCCCCTGCTGCCTGCCTCTCCAGCATGCTCACACGCAGGCTGCTGTGTGTCCTCTTCCCACTCTTCACCCTCCTTCCCCATCAGCGACCCCCAAAACGAGAGCGCCCTTTCCTGGCCCAGCCCTTCCAAGTCAGAAGGATCGGCAACTGACTTGACCTACGTGCAGCTAACTATCCCTTGCTTGGCGCAGCAGCAGGCAGGAAGGCCCCGCCCACCTGGTGGCTGTGCAGGATCAGGAGTGGCGCCCTCCTGCAGGTGGCTGGCACCTGACCCGTGAGAGCACTTAGAGAGCTACAGTCACTCACACATGTAGAATACCAGCTAGTGTGCAGAGAAAGTCCCTTTCCTCGAACAGTCTAACTGGGAATGCAGGGGTTGACCCTACTGCCTTTAGTGGTACCCTTACGCATCCACGGCGGAATGACCAAAATGCCCCGGGTGAGTCTGTGCCGAGGTGAGCGCCCTTTGCTTTGAGCGGTGAAGAAGGGCCTGAGTAAGCAGAGGTGTGTGTGTGTGTGCGTGCGTGCGTGTGTTTGTAGAGTTCCTCCTGTGGAACTCACATGTTTCACAGAGTTCGTATTTTGTCCTGAGCTTGCCTTTCATTTTGATTTTTCACAGGATGTGTCGTAGAGGCATGGAAGTGGGAAGTGGGAAACAAGTCAGTGGAAGCAGGGCAGACTGCCTCTCAGTTCCACCTTTCGCTGCCCTTTCAGAGCAGGAACAGGTTACCTTGACTGTGTCGCTGCCACTTAAATTCACTCCAGCTTTTCACTGAGAGGCATGGCCTTCCTGCAGGGCTCTGAAGCCACTGGAGGCCTGCCTTGCCCTCACCCTCGCCCATCACACCAGCTCACTTGTTCCAACCACTCTCACCTTGTGGCACGTCCGTAATCTAGGCCACTGGTGGCGAATGTTTTAGAGCTTTCAGTGGTAATAAACACCCCTTTGTGGCACGCAGGCCATAGGTTCGCCGCCACTGATCTAGGCCATCAGAGAAGACTGCCCCTCTTGCTAGAGCTGGGTCACCCTGCCTCTGTGCTCTGGTGGCTCAGCCGATTTTCTGCTCCCTGGGCAGGGAAATAGGCTGTGCGGCCATTGCAGGCATCCACATGGTTGACTTAGTTGTTGTTCGGTTCCTTCAGAAGGTCCTGGAGCCAAGCCAGAGCTTTTGTGACCTGGTTTACCTTAAGGCAGCCTCTTCAGGAAGCGGTAAGAGCTCCAGACCATCATCTTGTTTTTCTGCTGGAGATTGGTTGGGCCCTCAGAGTTCTCATAGAGAAAGAAATTTGTTCTCAGTGGGCACAATGTAGGTTGAGGTATGGCACATTTAGCAGGAATCATCCTTTGAATTAGGTGGTGTCTGTGCTCTGACGGCAAATACATGTTAAAGCCATGCGTGCTTAAAGGAGAGCAAATCCCTAAGGCAGGAGGATCATCAGGAGTTCGAGGCCAGCCTGGGCTACATGGTGAGTTCAAGGCTAACCTGAACTGCATAGTGAGACCCAGTTTCAAAAACATAAATAAATAAAAATAAAGGGGTGCGAATCCTGAGCCTTTGGCTTCAGCCCAGGAAAGGGGTGCTGGGATCCAGGTGTGGGGGATGCACGCCTGTAATCCCAGCACTCAGGGAGGCTGAGGCGGGAGAATCACAGGTTTGAGCCTAGCCTGGACGACTTAGACCCTGTCTCAGAATAAAACATTTCAAAAGGAGCTGCAGATATAGCTCAATTCAAAGGCCCCGGGTCCAGTCCCTAGTACCTTAGAATAGTAATTTGTTGTGTCCTTGTAGTAAATGTAGTGTAGTTGTGGCCTGCTGAATACAGACTCCCAAAAGATGCCCATGTCCTAATCCCCAAACCTTACAGGGCTACAGGGGGCAGTGAAGAGGTCATCCCAGCTTCTCCACATAGGCCCAGTGCAATCATGAGGGCCCCTAAGGGAGGAAGGCAGGGGAGACAGGCAGCCTCTGGGAGGAACCAGCCCCACCCACCCAGGCTAGGCTTCTGACCCTTAATGTGAAAATTGGTACAGTTTTAAGTCGCTGAGTTTGGACTTATTTAGGTGACTAAACGGTAACCCAACTGACTGGAAATGAACAGCCTCCACTGGAGAGCAGGGATAGGTGGACAGGGACAAAGGTCACCTCTAGTGGGGACACACTCAGGAGCCAGCTTTGACTGGAAGCAGACTGGGAGAGAGCACTATACAGAGGAGAGGGCCGGTGGGTCACAGGCTTGAGTTCAGGGAACAGGGCCAAACCTGAAATTAGAGCTCAGCCCCTTGATGCTGCATAGCGATAACTTTAGGAAAAGTGAAATAAATTGTTCTAAGCAGCAAGAGGAAGTTTCTAGAACCCATTCCATTCCTTCAGGAGGCGATCCAAACACAGTAGAATTCGTTTTGGAGTGATCTTCAGCAGACTCACAATAATGGAGCCATTGTAAATATTTGGGACACATAACCCTAATTTTTTGGGTGGAAGACCAGAATGTCCAGTTGTTCATTGAGTCCTGGTTTTGACCCAATATGGTAATTTGTGAGCTCTAAGGAGAACACAAATACTCTGATCCTCATGCGAGCCAGGGACCTTTGGACTGTCTTGCAGTGTCTGCTTTTAGTCACAAAGGAGATGGAGGCCTGAACCAGAATTCTGGACAAAGCAGTAGGGTGATGTTTAAACCCACACCCTTCTTTTTTCTTTATCCTTCTCAGTGCTGGGGATCAAATCCAGGGCCTCACACATTCAGGGTAAACACTCTACCACTGAGCCACATCCCCAGCTTTACACACATTTTTTTTTCTTTCTTTTTTTTTTTTTGGTACCAGGGATCGAACTCGGGTCCTTGTGCTTGTGCAGCAGGCGGCAAAACCACTGAGCTAAATCCCCAGCCCTTCTACACACATTTTAACCAGTTAGCTCACTGCAAAAAAATGAGGTATCAGTTTTGTCTCTTCATCTGCAGAATGAGGTAGAATTTATTACAGTGTATTAAAATTCCATTATAGCAAAACAAGATGACCTTTTATGGTTTTTTGGGTACCAGGGATCGAACTTGGGACCTCATGCTTGCGAGGCAGGTGGCAGAACCACTGAGCTAAATCCCTGACCCTCTTTTATTGTTTTTAATAATGGCATTAGACCTTCAGGACGCCAAATCTGATGAGAAGAACAGTATTATAAAACAGAACAGGAGCCATGGATTTAGCTCAGTGGTTCTGCCCCCTGCCTTGCAAGTGCAAGGTCCGGAGTTGGATCCCCAGTACCAGAAAGGAAAAAAACAAAAAAACAGAACAAAACTTCCACAATCCACCTCTAGGCGTCCTTTGGAAGCACAGCGAAAGGGAATTAAGTACGCGTGCACTTGCACCCTGCCTGCCTGCACCCATTCACCCCACACCCCAGTGTGGACAGCACTCCTTGGTGTGTTGCTAGGAATGCTGTAAGACAGGGCTGCCTGTGCTGGCTCTGCTCCTCCTGGCTGTGTGACTAAAGGGTTAAGTCAGTGATGGCAAACCTTTCGGAGACCAAGTGCCCAAACTGTAACCCAAAACCCACTTGTTTACTGCACAGTGCCAACGCTACAGTTGAACCTGAATGCACAGCTGCTGGGGCACTTGGCTCACGTGCCAACAGAGCAGCTGTGGTTGCCCACCGTGGCACGCATGCCGTAGGTCTGCCATCACTTGTGTAAGTGATCTTAGGATTTCTCAAGCCCCAGAATGGCCCAGTGCTCTGTCCCTCCCTGACTCCCCACAGTGTAATAACCTGTAATAACCTCCCACTGTTGAGTCCAGCTTGCCCCTCCCCCCACCCACACCAGGACCTGTAGGCGAGGACCCTGTGCCTTCTGGGTCTCCCTGGCCTCTGTGATTCTCGGTTTCCTCTGAGCACCCCTCTCGCTCTCTGGATCTGGGGAGAGGGATACAAGGATTTGGAACAGCCTGTGTCTAACCCCACACTAGGAGGGCGGTCCCCTGTGGTTACTGAGCCCTAATATTCAAGGGAAAAGCATTCATTTTTTCTCCCCAATTTGTGTTCCTCTTTCAGATTGATTCATGGTGCAAAGATAATAGCTATGTGATTGCTGGTTATTATCAAGCTAATGAACGAGTAAAGGATGCCAGGTATGTGGAAGCAAACCCTCCCTGGGCTGGAAGGTGCTGGTGACCCTCCTGCAGGCCCAGGGGCACCATCTGAGGGCCAGGTCCCTCCTCACCTCTGTGCTCATTGATAGTGTGTGAGGGCATTGGTGTGGATGCTCCAGACCACAAGATTCTCAATGATTGTACTACCCTTGGGAGTCTGTGTTGCATGGTCATTTTGCTCTAAAGGAATTTGAACAGTGAAAGTAGCAGTCAGAGGCCTCGCTTTCTGTCCCACCCAGCTTCCCTCGGAGTCCCAGTCCCAAACCTGGGTGAGGAAAGGCAGACCACGGCTCCTTCTGGGATAAACAAGGTGGCTTCTAGGCTTGGACTCGGAGGTCTTGTGTTAAATCGGCTCCCTGGGGGGTTCTCACTGAGCAGAGCTACAGGGCTCACCACCTGGCCTCTCAGCATCCACCCAGGTCCCAAGAGACTAGAGCCCCACCCACACCAGGGGAGTTGGCTGCTCCTAAAACGGGAGCTACAGCAGTGTGCCGGAGCCACAGCCAGCGATAGTGGCCATTACGTCCCTCAGCACCGCAGGGCCAGCACAGGAGCCAAGTAAAGCAGTTCACCTGAGCCAGGTGTGGGGGTCACACCTGCAGTCCCTGCACTCTGGCAGTCTGTAGCAAGAGGACCACAAGTTTGAGCCAGCCTGGGCAACTTAGCAACCTAGTGAGACCCTGTATCAAAATAAAAAATTTTTAAAGGGCTAGGGATGTAGTTTAGTGCCCTCCCTAGTACACCCAAAGAAAAGTCCACCTCAAGAGACTGTGGCTGAGGACACAGCCAGCAGCCAACCTGGTGGGATCCCACATCAGAGGGGAGCCCGAAGATGGGCCAGCACCTGACTTCGTCCTCCACTCCCTCTCATGTCCTCTGGGAGCTGCCTTGGCCAAACCCAGCCCGAAAGCAGGGGCAGCTGGGAAGTGCACATAACATACAAGTGCACAACGTACAAGCAGGTTCCTCCCTGTCAGCCACCAGCTCCAGCGTCCAGGCTGTGGCGCACAGAGGACCGTGGAGTTAGGCCCCTCTCATATGTAGACAAGAGGGTGCACAGAGCCACTTCCAGAAGGAATAAGCTGGCGGCCGAGCACTTAAGAAACATGTCTGTCTTGTCCCTTGAGGACTGGGTCCAGGCAAGGACCCCGCAGGGGTGAGACGCAGGGCTCATAGCATGTCCACCGGGGTCGGGCCTCTTCCTTGAGCCCAAGGGTAGTGCCTGTCGCCCTCCTCAAGCACAGCTCTCGGGAACCTGTCTGATTCTGTCTGCTCCTTGGTGTTGGTGATGCAGGGCCTGCTTGTCCCCCTGAGCAGGAGCCCAGCATGGGCCTGTGTGCGTTGCAGCCATCGTTATTTGTTACACGGGAGAGACTGACTAGATAGGACGGCCTGCTGGTGCGCTGGGTGCCACGTGACACAACGAGGCCGCATCCGCCCCACCCTGTAGCTGAGCTCAGTGGGAAAGGGCCGCAGAGCCAGAGGCAGCGTAGGAGTCACCACTGGCAGGACCCGGGAAGCCCAGGGAGGGCGGCCTGGAGCTGGGCCCTCGGGAGTAGCAGGTATGCAGACCGGGAGACCACAGTGCTGGCTGGAAGGCAGTGGAGGAAGACAGGTGGGGATGCACAGGAACAGAGGCACTGAGAGAAAGTGAGGCTGTGCTCAGGCTGCCGCCCTGAGGGCTCTGGCTGCTGGAAGCACCTTGAACCTGGTTTGTGAGTGCTGAGCAGGCTCGCTGCTCCTGCACAAAAGAGGGGAAGGGCTGCAATGGGGTGCATCTGACTGGGCTGTCACAGGGTACAGACTTCACCTTCCACCCCAAACCCACACCTTGGGCTCGCTGGTCCTCTCTCCGTGCCTGATGTCTGGCTCACACCCCTTTTCTCATCTTCCTGGCCTCCTTCCAGCTCAGTGGGAAATTGTCCTACTCAGGACACTGTTTCCTTGCCACCCAGCCTTCTAGCATTTCCCTGCGCCTCGCCAAGTAGGCTTCTTCCACTGCCCCCTCGGAAGGCTGGTGGCCCCCCTTGGTATGTCTCCTGCGTCTACGTCCACTTGTCCCATCTGTAGGGAGGGAGCGCTGGAGGTCCGTCCCACCCCCAGAAGTGTCCTGGACTGGAGAGTGGCGTCCCCCTCTGGTGCACCGCACTGTGGGGCACACCTCAGGCTCTGTGGAGTGGTCCCTCTTGATCCTCCCTGTGTGTGCGTAAGGAAGCTCTAGCCAGGGACAGGGACTTAGCAGCTCAAAACTGTATGCCCACTTCATCTGTAAATGCATTGGCTCCTATCTGGACCCCCCCACCCCCTTCAGCCAGACCTGCTCTTTTCTAGAAATATCGCCGGGTTAGCCGAGTCTCCCAGCATAAGATTTGGAGCCAGGTAGGGCTGGTTTCCAGTTCTCAGTAACTTACTGATTAGCCTCCTTGGGCCAGGTGGGACACCTGGATACCTTGGAGAGTCCCTCCAGGTCAGGATGAAGGGACACGAAGCATGTTCACGTGGGGGCTGGCGCTCCGCAGAGCAGTCCCATGAGTACAGAACAAAAGAGAACGATTAAGCAGTTGATGTTCTGATGTGTTTTTAAGTCTTGTTCATTTCCTAATCCTCAGGAGAGACATTGCATGAAGTTCTAGCCTGTCACTTCTTACTTGCCTTTGTGTTGCTCGTGATGAACATTGTCTGAGGGCATAGCTCCATACCCAGCGCCCTGCGCTGGTGTGAGGGAAAGGCTCAGAAAGCTTTCAATACAAAACGCAAGAGGGCAGTCGCATGAACGCCTGGCTTTGTGCTGTTGCAGGGGGTTAGGAAGGTGGTTTCTGCCTTCCAGTGCCTGTGTTTTATTTGGCAGCTGATTCTGGGAGGGACAAGATTGGATGCCACCCAGTAGGAACAAGGTCTCACTTGGACATCACACTATGAGGGGCTCAGAGTCACTCGTGGAGACAAAGTGCCCGATATGCAAAGCAAGTAAACAGAAGAGACCACTCTTTCAAATGCTTTGACAATCCATTAACTCCAGAAATATGAAGTTAGATGGGTCCCAGGCGCCCGGCTCCCTCTCCTCACTGCTTGCCTTTGAGTGGGGGGAGCATGGCACTCACCAGCTCCTGGCGTCCCCGGGGTCGCACTGGATGCTTTCCGGAACCCTGTGTGCCTCTGCCCGAGCACCTGCCTCCCACTTAACTCCGCTGCCTGAGGCTCAGGGTGGAGCCGAGTGGGGGGTGGCACCCAGTGTGTGTGCGAGGCCCTCCGTGCAGTCCCCAGCACTGCCGGATAAGTAACTGACTATACAGACGGTGCATTGAGTCCCGACTTATGGTGTTCCTCGGGCGAACTTTCACAGGTGTGCTGTCTAAAACTCACTTGTCAGCTTACAAACAGTTCTCCTGGGACAGAACTCGTTCGTAGGTCAGGACTTGCTTTACATCACTAAATCCTCTGTGTTGAAAACGAAAATGAAATAATCAGATAAAATAATTTGTTTCCATACAATGATACTAATCTTTTCTCATCCCAGTCACAGGAAAGGGTTGTAATTACTGGCTATTAAAATATATATGTCACGCAGTCCCTGGCTCAAAAAGCTGAAACTAATTATGTAGAGAAAATAAGACACCCGAGAAAGAAAACCGCACTTGCAGACCCCTTGTAGGAGAGTCTTAGACACTCTCAGGCTTGGAGAAGGGAGCCAGGGCTGTTTGGGGCTTTAAGAGAGAAGGCTTCAGGAGGGATACAAGGGCACAGAAGGAGGCCCTGCTTTGGCCCGCAAGCCACATGGCCCCTCGGCAGCCCCATGTGCCATCGCGATGGTCCCTGCGCACGTGCAGCTTGGCTCCTCCAGTCTTCATCTTGCTGGGGAATCCTGGCCCAAGTGCTGGTGGCTGTGCTTCGTGGATAGGATGGGGTTGAATGACAGGAAGGGAGTGGGTGGAGCTCACTGCTCCTTGTCTGCAGTCCCAACCAGGTCGCAGAGAAGGTGGCCTCCAGAATCGCCGAGGGCTTCGTGGACACCGTGCTCGTCATGGTAAGCCATGCTTTGTGCTCATGGAGGCCAGGTCTGCAGAAGGCTCTGCCACTGTGCTGTCCTCACAGCTACAGAGCTAAGGGCACTGGGTCTGCGGTCTGAGCTCTGCTGCAGTCACACAGGAATATGGGTGGCTCTCAAGGTCAGCAGCCCTCGTGGTGAGGTCCCCATGCCAGCACCAAGGCCCTCACGTGGGAGCCTTTAAGAAATACAGATTCGGCCAGGCGCAGTGCACACACCTGTAATCCCAGCACTTGGGAGCCTGAGGCCAGCGGGCTGCAGTGAGTTCAAGTCCAGCCTGAGCTGCAGTTCTTGCTATGTATAGGGAAGCTCTACCTCCAAGAAGAAAGAAATGCTGATTGTGAGGCTCCTCCGCAGACCCACTGAGTGGAAAGTGCTGGGGTTGGAATGTGAATGTGCCTTCCAAGTGGTGATGCAGCCTTCGCAGCCCCTGGAGCAGGGAGGGAGGGGCCTGGTCTGGGCTCCGAGGGAGGAAGAGCCATGCCGAGCCTCCACTCTGGTGGGAAGCAGTGACGTGCTCGGTGTCACCCTGCACAGCACAGCCTGTCGCGGGCTGCACCCTGGGGCGTTCCAGCGCCAGCTCACGCCATGTCCCTCTCGCCCAGGTGGACAACACCAAGTTCACGATGGACTGCGGCACGCCCACAATCCATGTGTATGAGCACCATGAGAACAGGTGGCGGTGCAGAGACCCACACCAGTGAGTGACGTCTGGAGGGGTTGGGGCTCTGGGGCTTCTGTGTGGTGCCGGCCGCCAGGCCGGTGCTGCAGGTCTCCCGGCCGGCTCGGGCTTGGCTGGAGATGGCAGTGCCTCAGCCGCCCTCCCGCACTCCGCCGGCAGGCCCGTCACTGTCCTGGGTGAAGGCCTGCATTTCCTGTCCCCGCTGCCCTCTGAACGGTGCATGTGGCCAGCCTCCGAGCAGCAGGGGATAGTCCCCGTGGGAAAGCCTGACCTGTTGTGTCTGACCCGCAGTGACTACTGTGAAGACTGGCCGGAGGCCCAGAGGATCTCGGCGTCGCTCCTGGACAGCCGGTCCTATGAGACGCTTGTGGATTTCGACAACCACCTGGACGACATTCGGAATGACTGGACAAACCCAGAGATCAACAAGGCCGTCCTGCACCTGTGCTAGGGCCACGGAGCCGGCTACCGGGCACTGCCTGTGTTCTGCAGAGCAAGAACACTGTAGCCTGGTGCAGAGCCGCAGCCACCTGTGCCAGGTCTGGGCAGGGCACCTGTCGCCTCGACGCCACGCGGGCTGAGGGAGAGTGTGCAGCCCGCCCTGCGAGTTCTCTCGAAGTCATGCGTTGCTATCAGCTTCCAAATCGGCTCTTTCTGCTTGTCCAAGATTGTTCTATTAAAGTTTTAACTAACCTTTTATAATCTGGGGAGGATACTTTTTAAGGCTTATGAACTATTAAAAACAAAGCCCACGTCTTACACTGCAGTGCTTGTGTGTGTTTGTCCTGGCTGAGTGGGGTGGAATCGGAGTGCTGGCACCCGGTGGTGCCCAGGGAGTGGGACGTGGGTGTGGGAGGCCGGGCAGGCTGAGCCAGGGGAATAGCTGATGCTGCTGTTGCTGAGAAACCTTCACTGCTACGGGCAAAACAAACTGTTGTATCGGGTGGGAGCACAGAACAGGGCCGCCCAGTCTGGCAGAAAGCCGAAACCTGCAGAGCCAGGCAGGCAGCCGGGACTGTGCCAGTGGGTTTTCAGAAGCTGACAGTCCTGACCCGAGACCTGCCTGGCCAGCCGGAGGGTTCTGACCTGGCTCTTGCACTAAGAGCTGCGGAAGCCTGAGACTCCGGTTGGCACAGATCAGCGTCGGCATTTCATAGCTGGAACATCGGTCCAGTGTTCTGACCAGTCTTGAGGAACTGATAAGGAAACGTTTCGGTGCAGCTGCACTTTGCCCTCAGACTGTCGGCCTCGGTGGACCCATAAGTCGGGAAGGGAGGCTGCCCTCCGCCGACAGAGGCCAGTGCCCGGGCAGGACCGCAGCACTGCGGGGCCTGGTGCACAGGCTGGCATGCCCACTGAGCTGGCTGCCCCCAGTACTGCCTCTGTGCCCCTGTCTTCACCTGCACCTTGCTTTCCCAGGAGCGCCCCACACTCCAGGCTGGATTCAGGCCTGAGCCTAAACATCGGTTCCCCAGCTGTGTGTCAGACTTAAACTGGCACAGGGAGGCGTGTTAAATACTCAGAAGGGAGGGGCGTTTGAGAAAGGCCAGGATGGACTCTAGGGTGCAGATGCCCACTCCTGTGGTCCTTGTAAAAATAGCAAAAGCCGTGTGTGGGGCTCCTGAGCTTCACGGTGTAGCTGCGGCCTCCGTCTCTGCCTGAGAACAAGCTTCCTCCTCCCCAGGGTCAAAGAGAGGCCTCTTCCACAGCCATCTGAGCTGTGTCCAAGCTGCTTTCCAGGGAAGGACTGGACGAGTGGCACTGCCCTGTACTCACATTGAGGTCAGCACATCACCAGTTCTTAAGGAACCCTGAGTCGGAGCAGCGCCCCCTGTGGCCAGCTATGGGCATGCTGGTCAAGTGCTCTAGCCCTGAGCTGTCCCCGAGCCCCAGGAGGCTTTTATTTTTATCTCTTATCCATTAAAAGATGAGTAGGACAAGTATTAATTTATATAAAAATGTCATTTTCCTGTACACTTTGGAAAGCTAGAAGAAAGTATTTCCAAAGTTTTCTTCATGAAGAGATGGTAGATGCCTCATGCCCAGCACTTGGAAGGCTGAGGCAAGAGGGTCATGAGTTCAAAGCCAGCATAGGGAGACCGGTTAACTGCCCCCAGAAAAAGACCAACGTTTGAGGAAACAGATGTTTAACCTGATTTAAACCTGACAGCACATACATGCATTGAAACATCACCCAGTACTCCAGTAATACGCTCAACTTCTGTGTTTTTGTGTGCACCAGTTGAATTTTAACTACTCGTCTCCCACTCCCCACCCCCACCCTACCCCCATACCAGGAATCGAACTCAGGATCTTGCGCTTGCAAGGCAGGTGCAGTGCCACTGAGCTACATCCCTGGCCCTTCATTTCCCATTTCTTACCGTGGTGGCCTTTAGGAATTAAGGATATTAAATGGAAAACTTGGCAGCAACTTCATAACACAAAGAGAGGCACTTTCTAAGGAAAAGTTGACATTGCTAATTCTAATAAAATTTGATTGCTTTAGAACAGAAAACAACTTAGAAATCTTGCGTAGTTTAAATTTTCAGGTCAGTTTTCCACAGATCTGGTTTATAAAGCCTCTGTAAAAAGTTCTCATCTAATTAGCTTTGATTTATTTTAATAGCTTCTTTTTCTGATGTCTCAGGAAACCTATTATTGCATTTCTTAGCTTTTCACACCTATTTTTTTTGTTTTGCCTTCAAAAGAGTGTGCATGTGATGCGGCTCTGTGGCACTACATCTGTCACGTCACGGTAGCTGCTTTCTGCTGCCTGCTGAACAGAAGCAAGGACCCACAGCATCTCCCCTGCCCTGCATGCATTTCCAGCAATTGCAGTGGAGAGAACTGAGTCTAAAAATAGACTTCCGCTTCCGCTAGTGCTCCCTTCACCCCAAGCACTGGACTGCTTCTTTTTCAGCTCAGTACAAAGTCCTGGGGAGTGTCTGGCTCACCCCGCCAACTCTCAGGTATGTTAGTCTGACTTCACCTCCACTCATCTCAGAATTCCGGGCTGAGACAATACCAAAAACCCAGCGTTAAAGGAGGAGGGTAAAGTTCATTTGGCTCTTGGTTTGGAGAGGTTTCAGCCCATAACTGACTGGCTCCAAGGCAGGGTGGCATCACAGAGGAGAAACAGCTCATGGGAGGCAGAGGCAGCAAAGCAACAAAGCAGTGAAGCAAGTCCAGGCAATCCTAGCAGCCCCTTTCTGCCCCTTTTGTGTCCTATCCAGCCTACCGGGCTTAGGCCAGGCCAGACCAGTCAGTGAGCCGATGTAGTAATCACACACTCCAGATCCACCCACTTCTAAAAAAGCCCCACCTCTGACCACGTGAGGCATTTGGGGACAACTAGACAAAGCCATAACCAAGGATAGCAAAACTTTATTTTTCTTTTTGCAGTATTTGAGATGAAAACCAGAGCCTCATGCATGCTTAGCTCAACTGCTAAGCTACACCGCCACCCCACGAATACTTTTGTCCTCATAAAATTAACTGTTGACTTCTGAAAACGAAAACGCTCGCGGTACCCTGGGTGGGATGCAGAACGTGACCAAGACGGCTGCTCTGAGTGGCGTCCCTCCGGGAGCCTTTCTTCCGTGAGGGTTAACTTCTTTTCAGGTTTCTGAAATGCTGCCCTTAGATAAATGGCCTGAGGTGTTTTCCTTGCAAAGAGAGAACCAGTCCGCCTTCAGGATGGCTGGGAACTGTGTTCCCCTTGCTCTTTTGTTGTCCATGTAGGGTGACAAGCGCCAGCAGAGCACCCCTTGGCCTCGACTATGGGTCCCCTTCGTTGGAACTCATGCCACCTGTAAGCAGAACAGCATGCTCTGCTCAGTGCTGGCTGAAAAGCTCCAGATACCTCAGCACGCCTGTCGTGTAGAACATTTGTGAGGCTCGGGGCAGGGCCCGTGCCCTCTTGGAGCCCACAGTGGTGAGGATTGGCACTTGGCAGGTGGAGCCAGTGCCAGGTTGGCTCCAGGGCTCCAGTGATGCCTTCCATGCCCTGCTCGCCACAGGGAGAAGCCGGACCTTGGTGAGGAGCAGTCCTCTCCTGTGTCCTCGGTGCTGCCCCTCCTGGGGGTGCCCTGCTGGCCTGGGCACTGGCCCTGGCTGTGTGGCAGTGGCCGCAGGCTGCGTGTGCCGCCACATCGAGTCCAGAGCACTCGCGATCAGATCCTACCCTGGGTGCCAGACCAGACCTGCCACATTCTGGTTCTGCCCGACGCCCCTCGCAGGCACGCGTGCAGTGCAGCAGGAAGGGCACACTGCTAGCACTGACCCAGTTAGGGCTCCATTCCCAGCAAGTTCTAAACTGCTGTCAGTTCCAGAACATTCCATCAACCACACAGAGCTGGGAGGCCAGGATCAGAGCAAACTCTGAGCGAACATTTATCCCAGGGCAAGCGAGGGAATAAAATGGCAGCAGCCTGCATCTGCCGGCCCTGCTGTCTCCACTTGCCTGTCCACCCCAGGCCCAGACTGACTCCACTAAGCAGGAAGCAGCCGACAGGGAGGAGGAGGAGAAAAAAACACCTTCCTCCTCCTCCATGCCCCGTGCCCACTGCTGCCCCAAACTCGTCCTGCTGCATCTGCCTCCTTATCACAGACTCAGTGCAGAGAATCCAGAAGAAACTGACAGCGCTGACCTCCATTCTCCCTCGCCTCCCAGGAGACTCTCGTGAGCGAAGGAGCGAAAGGAGTCCGCCTATGAGCACAAAGCCACACAGACATCACTCTGCAGAGCAACACAGAGCCAGCCCGGGCTGGCAGTAAAAAGGATTTCACAAGGCCTTCCTGTCCTCCATGGCATCCTGCCTGTAAGATGATCTAGTTGTTACTTTTTTTTCTTTAACATAAGTTCTCACTAAGTTACCCAGCCAGGCCTCAAACTTGGGATCCTCCTGCCTCAGCCTCACTTTTATCTTTAAAAGTTTAGTCTGGAATCTGTCATGTACTTTTCATGCCAGGCAGCAGCTTTGCAGACAGTGACCTTCCCTGCAGGGCTGCTGTGCCTCTCGAGGGCCTCGTCCTGTCCCTGTGTGTGCAGGATGTGGCCCCAGAGGCTTATATCAATCTCTCGCTCCTAAAAAACAGCTCACCTCTGTCACAGAGAGGACAGTGTATTGGTTTTTAAGTTGCATCCACAAAGAAATGTAAAGAGAAAAAGCGAAATCATCGGAAATCCTCCAGCTTGCTGAATGAATATTCTTGTAATCATCTCCCCAAGGTAAGAGTCTTTGTTGAAAGAAAGGTATCCAGGAACAGCTTCATTAATGTAATCACTAATTTCTGCACTATTTGGACCGTTCATGTCCAGAATCATGAAGTTTCCTATTATGTTAATGTTCCAGTCTCAGCTTCACCATCTCAGACATAGCAGGCAAAAGTTTATTGTTTTTAAGTGAGGCCTGTATGAAGAGTAACACACATGTGGGAAGGGGTAGGCGAGTTTTCCCAGCCTGGAAGTGCCCCAGTACCTAGAAACATGGGGCACCTGGCCCGAGGGTCCCGGACGCGTCCATGTGAGACTCAGCCTGTCCTAGGCGAAGGCCTCATTCCTACTCTTCGACCCCCTCTGTGACCATGGACAGTGAGTTATTTCTGGATTTGGGGCCCTTACAGACATTGCTACAGTTATTCTTTGTTTGTTTGTTTGTTTGTTTTCTCTACAGAGTGGGTTAGTTACTTTTCTCTTGTTGCTGAGACAAAATACCCACATCCAGGGCCGGGGATTTAGCTCAGAGGTTCCAGCACCTGC